TCAAATATCGTACACAGTTGACTTTCTTTCCATTATTTCCTCAAGGAAATGTAATAAATTTGCGATGTGTACCGCCTGTCGTTGCGGTTTTTCGATTTTGCATGGTGGAAGGGCAGATGTTCTCAAACATGTGTGTACACAAAAACACAAGGACAACATAAGTTGTTTTGAAAAAACGAAAAATTAAATTTTTCTTCGGAAACAAAGGACCAAAAAGTTATTAACCCTTTCGCGACGAGTTTTTTTTTTTTTTTTTTTTTTTTTTTTTTTACAACAGAACAATTTTGATAACATAAACTATGAGTAGGGCACTCTAGAATGCTAAAAATGAAGATGTTATATTTTTAGAAAAATTTTGAACACTGATTTAGGACCGGGACATATATGTTCCATCAGTCCTGACCACTGGGACATACGTGTCCCAGTAGTCTTCAATGAGTAATTTTGTAAAGAAAACCAATGATTTTCTAGTCATAAAAATTTAATTACGAATGGTATGGTTTGAAGCAATCAATGCACAAGGCGACATTACACATCGTGCACATTATTTTAGTGCACGATTCCTTCTTTTGTTGTGCACATTTACGGCACCACCGTCGTGTTTTTGTTGTTACTGGCAGATGGTCACCAACATTGAGTGAGCTTCGTGATGTTTTGGATGGGCGTCCAGTTCCTCTGGTATCATCATCGATATCCATTTCACACTCGTCTGAATCGGATGAGTACTGCAAATTGTGTGTTGGATCTTGAAAATCGGGATCATCTATTTCATCATCCAAATCAATATCTTCGTCATTTGACTCTTCTAAAATTTTTTTGATTTTTTCATTAGTAAGTTCCCGGCGTCGAGTCATTTTAGATTGAATTAATATGTGCCTAAATTAAAAATAATAAGCAACTATTTCAAAAGTAACCGAAAAATATAATATCTAGAGAAATGATCACATAGGACTGTTGGACAATGTGTTCCCACTATCCAAGACGAGAGGGACACATATGTCCCGATAATAAAAACGGAAGTAAAACTTTGCCACTTACCAGTTTATTAGCGGTAATCCGCTTCGTGAGTAACTTATCTGGCCTTAGATTTATGGATAAATCAAAATTTAATTGAAAATAGGTGGTATTTTTCAAAACTAAACTATTTATATTTGTAGAGTATGGAATGAGCTGCTACAATACTTCAAAAATGCGGGAATTGCATTATGTACGGTAGTGCCATCTATGTTCTGTGAATGAAAATACCTTCAAAAATATTGGCAGGACTGGTAGGAAAGTCTCCCATTAGACAGAGAAGCATTTCTATCCCAAGAGTATTTTTTAAAATTTGCTTGGGGCGTATGTGTCCCGTTAGGCGCGAAAGGGTTAATGCAGAATGTCTGTTCTCTGCCTTTTTACTGGAGCACAACCTGCCACTGTGCCACAGCTGAAAAAAGGGCAGCTTCTTTACCAATAAATGTAGTTGAACACATTGTTGATATTTATTATTATCTCGGAAGGAGTTCTAAAAGGAAGGAAAAATTGAAACAGTTCCAACAGCTGCAATCCTAGCTGATTTTATAACTTCATCCAAATTAGAAAACTTGGATGAAGTTATAAAATCAGCTAGGATTGACACCCAGTGGAGTTTAATTGGAAAACTGAAAGATGCTGATGGAACCAGGCTTACGTGGCAATTGCTATGAACAAAATTGTGAAGTTTCTTTCTTAAAGAAAGCAAAATCTGCCACTGTTTATAACATTTGTTTGAAAACCGATTAAAGTGTTTTTTTTTTTAAATGATGCAAGTAATAAAATTGTTTTTTATGTGTAAGGCATTTTTGTGTTGCTTGCATTTAAGAATTAGTTACTATTTAAAGTTAATTCATTATTAAAAACTATATTTTCATCATTTAAAAAGTCTTTTTAACATTGTGAAAAATCTCCCGATTTCTTAAAATAATCTCCTGATTTTTGAGTGTCAAAAGTTGGCAAGTATGCTTCTCCAAAGGAAATAATGCAAAATAATAATAATAATGCCAAGTGGGTATGGCTTTAATGGAAGAGTATCACAAAATATCCATTGGTGATAATTCTTTAGAGAAGTAACGATGGAAACTTACATAGTTGTAAAAAAATGCAAGTTATAAATCAGTATTAATTTTAATAAAAGCCATTGATTATTACTATTAGATGGACATATCTTGATACACAAGTCTAACAGCTCTGGTGATATTATAAAACTATTATTATATTAAACTAAAACCCATAGAAATTCACTTTTGAATAACTTGACATTTGGTAAAATTTGACATCTAAATAAATACACTGCTAGCCATTAAAATTGCAACAAAAGGAACAAATCATCTGATGAATGTCAAAATCACATGAAAGGAAGAAGAGATTGGGATATGCAAATGATTAGTATTTCGGTGCATTTAGGCAACGCAGGAGGAAGAAACAGCATCTGAAGCACTGCATAAAAGAAAGATGAGTATGAATTGGCAGAGACATTAAATCCTTTATCATTAATTCCGGATTGGGCTATGTCCTCAGATGCAGAATACAGTTAATTAAAGTCCAGGGAAAAATTATATTTCCTTAGGAAGTCTAATCAAAGTATGCAAATATCTGTAATATTTTGTAATATTTCTAAACATGATGTTAACCCCTTCATGCCGACTGTCACGTATATGTGCCAGCAACAAACACACTTACCTACCGGCCGACACGCAGGCGTGCCAGAGGATTGTTCCGTTCTCTACCGACTGTCACGTATTTGTGCCGGTACTTTGGAAAGTTTTTCAAACTATAATTTCTGCCACAAGATGGCACTGTATGTCCATATGGTTTCAGATACATGTACATTAGACCTTCTACTCGAAATGAGAGAAGCATGACTGACATACACGTGTTTTTGATTATATAAACAAACGGGGAAATAAATGTTTCCGAATGGCGTGATTTATGACGTCTCTTTAAATCGCACTTTATTCGCACGTGGTAGTTGTTTATTGTAAGTAGAGAAGTTTTATTTGCTCTAAAGCGTTGGGTATTTCGGTTTGCAGTTCAGTTTTTAGAAAATAATTAGATCTTGTTAGATGTGAATTCTTTGTTTTTACCGTTGCAATGTCGAAGTGTCGAAAATGTTTAACAGAGCATGAAATAGCAGAAATGATGCAAAATATTTCAGATATTGATTCTGAAAGATTAACTGAAAGACATTTTCTAAAACTTTGTTCAGAAGAGACTGATAAGAAAATGAGACAACGATGCTTCGTTTGTTCACATTCCCGGAAAAATCCTCCAAAACGGCAAATGAGTTATTACGAGTGCAAGGAATGTAACGTAGGACTGTGTGTAGATCCCTGTTTTAAAATTTTTCATACGAAAAGAGAATTTTAAGTAATATATTTAGTTTTCAGATGTATAATGTTAAAATTCATAAAATGGTGAGTAATTAAAATAAAATGTGTAAAATATGCATTTAAACAAGAAATAAGGTAATCAAAGTATACATATAAAAATATCTATAAAGCATAAGCCGTTTAAATACTCTATAGAGCATTATTAAACAATGCGTTGATACTTCGGAAATTTCATGGATTTAGGCTTAGTAGCAAAAAATTTTAATAAAATCTCCCGGCCCTGGAGAGACGCTCGCGTAAGACACTGCCGGCCTCAGCGATAAGCGCGTGTTTTCGCTACCCAGCTCGAAGGGGTTAACATTTAATTTTTCACCGATGTCAATTTTATCCCCAGACACAGTCTGAAGGGTAGGACAAGGCATTGCCCAGAAGAGTTTACCTTCCAACTGTTGAGCCAGATCCTTTCGGATGATCATAACTTTGCCTCTTGTATTGATGGTCATATTGCAAGAAACTCCATTTGTATGTCCCATGATAAAGAGTCCATTACTGCAGAAATCAGAAGCTCTTTAAATTGGGGCTTCCCACTATCTGGTAATGTACGCTCTGCGAGATGGTCACTAATTTGTTTCCTGTGTCCTTACTGGGGACTGGTCTCATTTTCTGTGCCTTGAGGTTACACAAGTTCCTTTGTATGTGGCCTTCACCACCGCAGTTCTAACACTTTAGGGTTGGTTTCTTGACACTTCTATTCCGTCTCAGAGGATTCTCTGGTTAAATCATATAAATGAGCAGTAACTTGATTCACTGTCTCTTGGAATTAAGCAGCTCTGACTGGCTGGCAGTCTCTACAAGTTACTTGCTAGGTTGGCTTGAATTTCATGGTGCACTTTAGAGTGCTTTTTAAATCCTTCACGTCTGTCATTCGCCTTTCTGTATCTGAAGATCCTGGATGCCATTAGCAAAGTACTGCTGGGACAGGATTTTCCTTGCTTCTGATGGCAACAAAGGCAAATTGAGACAGCTTTTCATTATCCATGGCAAGCTCCTCGAGTGCTTCCGTAGGTGAGATTTTAAGTGAAGCTTGTTACAGTCTTTTAAACACTTCTCACCAAAATGAAATGGCAACATGCCAGACAAAACTTAGATGTCTAACTTCTGATTTTCAGGCAGAGTTTGAAGGGTATATACTATGTCTGCTCTCAAAGAAGTGGCAAGATCGCAGGCCTTAGCTTGGGCATCCCATCTATTCGCATCTTACTCAATGTTAAACAGACTTACCCCAGTATTTGTACTTTTCCAGCACAGCATCATCTCTCTAGGTTTTCATGTTACTTTATACAGAAAAATACAATTTTACATATAACTGCACTAAAATCATCATCTGTGCACAAAATTCATAACACCTTTAAAATAGTTTAAAAAGTCTCAACATCAGTTGTATTTTTATAAATTTAAAAGACTACACAAACAAACAACAAATTACTAGTGAAGCAAAATTTAGAGTAATGACTAAAAATTTTATGCAGCTGGAAAGTATTAATATTGGACTAAATTTATGTAAAAATTTTATCATTTGATAATGTATGTAAGAATATCACAAGTACAATCAATATCGCAAATATCATTACTACTTCAAATAAAAACAAAAAATCCATAACTGAAAATGATAATTTACTCTATATTTATGTACATTCTATAAATATATATAAAAGTTACAAGTATAAAAAATCTGATCACATAAAAGTACTATTTGTTTAACATTTCAAAGGTTTTAACAAAGACACTGTAAAACTGGACAGATTGTTGTACAAGATCTATTTCACAGCTACTTCAAATGAAGTTAGTAATTTCTATTCTTAGCTGGACGCAACCCAACTGGCAGGAACCCACTGAGGCACTGTTTCTACTAATTTTATTACATGTAATAATTCTTGAAAAGCCCGCAAAAGATCGTCATTTACAATAACAGCATCAAACATGTGTCCATACAAAAACTCCAATTTATGTCCTCCATAAACTATTTCATGAAATTCACTATCCTACAAATAAATATGATGCATTAAAAAACAAGAAAACATACTTTTATGTTCAAAATTCTGTTTAAAAATTCTTCAGTTTTAAAGAAAGATATAGTGTATTTTCATGGAATAATAAAAAATAAAAATTCTGAAAGAGAAAGCAAGTTAATTGGATATTTTCTTACTATCTACAAGCCCACCGAAAAGGCGTGAAAAATTACTTGCCAAAAAGTTATCTTGTCAGGAAACATAGCTATGCACATAGCACACATGCATTTGAGTATATTAGGTTTTGCACACTTGAAATTCAGTACTAATAAGATTAGTATCTCTTTCTACATTGAGTACATTTGTTTTTGTAGTAATGAAACTGTGGAACTCGTCCTCTTTTATTTTTAATAGGCTGAAATGCTTTAGCTGTTCTTGGATGATTGTGGCCAGTGTGAGTGCCGAGGTTATACATGATGCCGGGTTTGTTTCTCTGAATTCTCTGAATATTCTTTTTAAGAAAAACAGAACATTCTGTATACTGGGAGAATTAAAAAAATAATAATAAAATAAAATAAAAAAAGCTTGTCTTGTATGGGAAAAAAAAAAGACTAAAAAATTATACAACACTGGATGCATCATTGAAACAGATGAAATGATATCCAAACAAATATTTCTTTCCAAAAAGTTTACAACTTTTTAGTGGGGGCACAAATGATCAATACCTGAATTCTTTCATTATGATTCAGCTAAGCATTATACACATAGTGAAAACATTCATAAATAATAATAGTATCCTTCAAATAAAAAACATTAAAAACAGCTTATATTTAAATAAAAATGTATCTCAAAATTGTTTAGCATAAAAGCAATAAATACTGAAACAACAAAAGAAAGGCAGCACTAGCAAAGGTAAAGTCAACAATAAAAAATTACAATGGCAAATGATGATGTACGATTCTTAGAAAAACCCAAAATGAGAATATTTAAGAGTTAATAAATAATTCACATTAAATGGAAGAAAGGTGGCAGAAATATTTTAAAGGATATATATGTACATTTTTCAGTTAATAAATTTGATTAAATAGGTTCTTGATTATTTTTAAGCAGTTTAACTACTAAGAATATTTCATGCAACAATTAAAAAAAATTGCAAAAATCTTAAAAATTTTCTTTAAATGAAATTTTTCATACTGATAACAAAATTTTCTCACCGTAAATCCTCGAGAGCAAAATTCATCAAATGTTGATCGAGCATTAGCTCTTGTTCTTGTTTCTTTCAAAATGTCTAGAGGTGGAGGTTTAATGAAAATGAGATAAGGTTTAATTTCAGGTGTTCGTAAAGCTTTCAAAGCCTATAAAATAGATAAATATATATATAATTTTAAATAAGAAAGCAATATTATGTGATTTATACAAATGAACTATATGAAACTTTCAATCTATACAATAGACAAAATAATATGAAACTTTTCTACAAGTGTAACTCCACCTTGCCATGGTGGAGTGATGTATGTGATTCTATAACATTATTGAGGAGACTCGGATGAGTGGGTTGTTGTAGTGCTGGAAGTGGCTAAGTGCATGTTGTTATCCTACATGCAGCTATGAGATGAACGCCTGCATTTTACAAAACAGTATTTTATTTATAAAACAAGTAACATTTGCAGAAGAGCATGTACAGGTGTGTGGGTCGGCAGCTTGTCCACTGACGTAGCAGTGGGGAAGGGCAGTATGTGGAAGAGTGACTGTAGCACCACTCCTCCTGAACTAGAATGCATTCATTCCAAAGATTCCCCTCCCCCCCCCAGTGACAAAGGGAACAACGCAAATACATATACTAAATACTTAAATAGATAATAGAAAGTGGCAAAATATATGATACAAATGAGAGTGTATATATGCAAAATTTAAAACAGATTGCCAAATATTTATGAAGTACATGTTAAAAAAATGACATAAAATAATGAATATGCAATTAACAAATATAATAATGAAGATAATATTCATATATATATTAATAAATTGGCTCAAGTTTAGATTTCACTAATCAACCTTTTTGGAAAATTGGCACATCTGCCTATTTTTTTTTGGGGGGGGTACCTGCAAATGGAGTAGTAGAGATTGGTTTGTCTACTTTCTGTTGATTGTTGTGAACTTCAATGGATTGTTTAGTGTTTGAAGATATTTTAGGCAAATCTAAATTTTCCAAAAAGTGAAAGGCAGATTTGAGTCTGTCTATTGTTATGGTAGTTGGTTTCCTAGTTGAACCTATTACAAACGTTTTGTCTGTTTGCTTTATTACTGGGTGTGATCCAGAATATGGAGGTTTGAGTGGAGGGCGAATTTTATCGATTCGTAAAAATATGTGTGCATGTTTTTAATGACGGACTGACATAAGTTTTGATGTTGCCATGACTGGTAGAAACAGTGGGATCAGGTTTTCTCATCATTGCAATTAAATTGGAAATATCAGTAGTGGTAATAGGGTGTTTGAGAGAATCTGTAGAAATAAGATTGCATGGTAATCGTAAAGAAGTGCCATAGACAAGTTGAGAGCTTGTTGAATTTAGATCATTTTTAATGATCCTAATAATACCAATGGTAGGATTTCTGTTCATTTAGTATGTTCATGAGCTGTAAGAGCACTTTTGAGATGTCAGAGTAATCTTTCTATCATTCCATTGCTTTGAGGGTGATATGATTTTGAATGAATTCTGTGGCTGCCTAGCATATTTGTAAGTTCTTGAAGCAATGATGATTCAAAATTTCATCCTTGATTTGGTGTAATTGTGACGGGCATTCCAAATCTAGAGATCCAACCCTGCAAAAGAGTAAGTGCAGTGGTCTCAGCAGACATATCTGGCATAGGAATAACCTCAGGATATTGGGTGAATCTATCAATAATAGTCGAGTAATATTGATTGCCGTTCGAGAGTGGTAGAGGTCCAATAAAGTCCAGGTGTACGTGAGAAAAACGTGCATCAGGTAAAGCAAATGTGCTTAATGCACTACAGGGTCTTTGTTCAACCCTACGTTAAACCAAATGCTTTACAAGTTCATGTTCAAAAACTTGTAAAACACAAATGCAAATCACTTGTAAATCTCCCAAAGTTGCAAAAATTTCTGAATGCTTTCTTAGCATTCAGAAGTTATTCTAGTTATTACAGCTTTACAAGAACACAAGATAGCCTTATCGATATTTAATGACCATGAATAAACATTAACGTCTACAAAACATTGCTGTTTATTCATGGACTTCTCAGAGGTACAATCAGTATATATTAAAAAACTTCCAAGTGAAAAACATACTGCAATTATCTCAAAGTAAGTCAAACTGATTGTAGACAGGTGTTGTTACTTTTCTCCTTCACTTGAGATGTAATATATAATATTCTTTTGGGTTTGGTTTATTTAATTACAAGAAAGCACTTGAGGGCTATCTGCATAAGGGAGGGATGTATTCATGGAGGACTTTCCAAGAGATTGGCTGATATACACATTTGAAACCTAGACCAAACTAAGAGTGTTAAGCAACACTACCACTTGGCAGCTGGTGAGTCCATTTTTTTTTTTTTTTGTTTGTTTGTTTCCCTTCTGTATATCCCCCTGAAACCCTTTGTTATGTATTTTTTATCATGTATAAAAGATTGTAACTCAGAATTCTAAGTTTTAAATATAATGCTTTTTACTATATACAATACATATGCTCTTTTCAGTAAAAGCTTCATATGTAATTTTAATATTACTGTAATAAACAATGAACAACCCTACATTTTTTCTTTCTGCATCTTTCTTAACAATACAGATGAACAACTGAAACATGCATTTCAATAAATACTATCATCATTGAGATTACTGTCATTTACTTATGCATACTTGCTAACAAAGGATTCTTTGAACCAACATTTGAAAAATTTTATAGAAAGTCTACCAGAAAGTTCCGCCCAATAATGTTATTTCAAGTTTCAGCATGCATGCAGGAGTTCATCTGAGACATACCACTGTCTCTCTTTATCAATGCATTTATAAACATCTGCTCTTCTAAATTAACTGAAATAGAAGTGTCTCATGTCATTATTAAGTGAGATGTAATCGTGTAAATATGGCTACCAACAAAGTTCATTTATGACACTGTATTTGATAAAATTTCCAACAAGGAAGAAATGCCACAGAAGCATGTAAAAATTTAGTGACAGTTTTTGGTGTAGATGCAGTTTTAGACAGAAGATGGTTTGAAGCATGTGATTTCGACCTTCATGATAAGCCATGCTCTGAGCAGCCTTCAGTGAACAACAATGACAATTTTGAGACCATAAAACAGCAAGATGTCTTTCCGCCAACATCAGAGATTGCAGAAAAGATTAACTCATCAACAAACCATTTTAGACCATATTCGTAACCTAAGGAATCATTTATAATTATTCTAAATGATGCCTCTTAAGTGAGAAAAATTTTCATGACTGACTCATCATATGCAAACCTCTGCTTGCTTGGAATTAAAACAAATCCTTTTTGGACTGGATGACAACTGGATATGAAAACATAGTCAGGGAAAGAGCATATTGTGAGCCAGGCCAGTCTGCTTTTCCACCTCTAAATTCAGTTTGAGCCTGAATAAGAGATGCTGTGTATATGGTGAGACATCCAATACAAGATTTTAAAACAAAAAAAAAAAAAAAAAAAAAAAAAAAAAAGAAAAGAAAAGAAAAAAGCTCAACTTAGGGAGATACTGTCAGAAAATGGATGATTTAAAAAAAGCAATCTATGAAAAGAGGCTGGCAATGTTCAACAGCAAGCAAATCATTTGCCTCATGATAATCCAGAGCACATGTTGCTCTAGAGACTCATCACAAAATCGCACAGCTAGGCTGGGAAATTCTACTGCATCCACTATACACCTCAGATGTATTACACTCCAATTATCACCTGCTTCATCTACAAATTATTATCACACTGGCAAGTATGTATACATAAGTAATGATGGAAATTATATTGTGCAATAAAAATTATTAAGGATAAGAAAAACATATCATTTTCCTTCACTTCTCACGCGAACAGAATTTTCTGGCACATCTTATATTTTTCTGACTGAAATGGCACAGCACATGCGATACATTGCATTATAAAATATATATGGTGTCCCATTAAGACTGTCCAAATTCTGCACAGCCAGATTGTTCACTTAGAATACATATAAATGCCTAAAGTATGACCTATAAGTTTTGATAAAAATGCGAAAACAAGTATGATGTCAGATCTGGTGCAAGAAAGAAAAAAACTCTACTGGAAACATGAACATCAGATATTTGCATATACTTACACAGGAAGATGTTCAAAACGCCCATTGTGTATATTGAGGAAATATTTTTTTTTTCCCCTCCCTTGCATAAGATATGACACTGTTCTTTTCTTTTGCATTTATCTAAAAAACTATGGGTTGCATAAGTGCAGTTCTTTTGGCATTTTCTATGTATTCCAAATGAGGAATCTGGCTGCACAGAGTTTGGGCAATAATAAGACATCTTGTATTTATAATTCTTCACATTGAAAGAAAGTGCAATACAGCTAGAATACAATTTTAAAAAATTCAACCAATTACCTGAGGATGGGGAGTCATTATGCATACATAACCAGCATTTATAACCGATTTTACAGTTTCTAAACTAGTTCCATATAAATTTCCCTTATACTGTCCATATTCAACGAACCAACCCATTTTAATTTCTTCTTGTATACTCTCTCTCGAGCAGAAAAAGTACTCTTTGCCATCTACTTCCCACGGATGCTTTGGCCGACTAGTATCTAAAACAGTAAACAATGTAAATAGTTCAAAGTAAAAGGAATCTCAGGATGCAATGTCTAATTAAAAACAAAACATTTTTATAATTAAATTCTTAATTATTTTTACTAAATATTGAATAAAAAAGTAGTTTACTATTATACATATTATCACATAATTTTGATCAATTCCAAATACATAATAAACTCAGTACCAGATTTTTTGGTACATACACTTAATATTTAAACTTATATTAAGCATGCGTACCAAAAAACTTTTTTATATATTTTAAAGCCATGTTGAAAGTAAAAAAAAAAAAAAAAAAAAACATGTAACAAAATAAATTACAAAGATTATTATGTCAACTGCACAGTTCATAATTTGTTTGGAATCAATCTTCTAAAAACTGCTTTTTGGTAGATTTCATTGTAGATGAAGAAAAGTTCATTTTAAGTCTAATAATAAAGTATGCAGTATGTAACTAAAATTACTAGACAACTCTTGTACTATTATTATATCTTGTACTATTCTTATACAGTCAAAAGTCTTTAATCCAGACGTCCATAATCCGGAATGATCTATAATCCAAGACTTCAAAGCTACAAACTTACCGCGCAACCAGAAAACCATTTGATGGCATTTGACCATAATGCGTTTACACATGCGCATACATAATACGTATATGCATGCGAATTTAATGTCTAACGGGCGGTATAAGCTAAGCTAAAATTATCTAATTATCTATTTCAGTTAATCTTGCAGATTCCGTTGTTCCTTAATCTTTTAATTGGATCAGGCTCATTATTTTTTGCAGACTGTTAGAGCAATTTTATAAAAGTAAGCTTGAACTTTCGATTATGTCAAAAAGAATTTCCGATTCTGGAGCTGCCAAAGGATCTACAAAGCGAAAGCATGTTTCGATGTCCACCAAACAAAAAGTGGAATTGCTGCAAAAAATGGATAAAGGCATATCCTTTGATTCTCTAACCATTCCGAAATCTGTTTATCAAATCTTCAGGACAGATGTTTTTATTTTATTCGGCTTATAATTCTTTACTAAATGTAGTATTTCATCTCGATCTTTGATATGATTTAAATCAAATTCCTCGTCATTATAGCTATCACGAACACACATCAAATGGTTTTCTGGTTGCAATTTTCTAATTTCGACTATGCGTAATGTATGCTTTACGCATGCGCGAGTTGAAAGAAATGTTTAATAAAGTAAACAAATAAATATTAAGCTTTTTTTTTTTTTTTTTTGTAAATTTTGATACTCTTTAGATCATAATTGCTCTTTATTTCATAAATTACAGCTTGATATTTTTAATTTTATAATTTCTGCATGCCATCTTACCAGATTTAAACTAATGATCTATAATCCGGAAAAACCTGATAATCCGGAATCGCCAAAGTCCCAACGAGTCCGGATTAAAGACTTTTGACTGTATGATTAAGGCATACTTTTGACTGTTACTAATGATATTGTTGCGCTTTTTTCTTCTTTTCTAACACCAAAGGTTACGTTATTTTCTTCCTTTGCGTTCGTACAGGGTTCGTGTGGATTTAGAGTGAATAACGACATCACTTGATGAAGTATCGAAACACTTTATTTAGCCAATATTAATCAGAACAGCTCCAACAACACTTTTTACAGTCATCGAAGAGCTACTATAAACACGCTGGAACAATCAGCGACACAGCCTTCACAGTGTGAGGCAATAACAGCGGAGACAGCTTCCTGCAAAGCACCAGAGTACAGCTCCGGACTCTGCTTGATCATTCTTGGAAATCCACATACTCTCGAGACTCTTCGGTTCAGTTGTTTCTGGAGCTCAACACTCTCTTTTGACGATACACTACGAGACTCTTTCGGTGAACTCGACGACCCACTCGGCACTCGCTGCCCGGCTGTCTGTCAACTCAAACGACTCCGCAGGGACTGACTTGCTAGATGAGACACCAACTCGATACTAGCTATCTCTCACTCTAGGTGAGACACACACACTGAGAACACTCGATACTGACTAACTCTCCACGTGCCAGCAGGGTTTATATAGCTTTTGGCTGGTGTTTGAGAACATTCTGGGTTAAACCGGTAAAAATTCGTTCCAGAAGTTTCTCCGTCCGTCCATGGTATATTGACAATTTTGTCGCCAAATGTGGCAACCCCGTCCTCCCTTGCCATTTTAGGGCAACCCTAAAACTGCTTTGTGGGGAAGCCATCTTATCGCACCTTGACATTTTGTAACAATATAATGGAATGATTAGAACAGCCGTCAATTTTACACAGAGAATAGTAATATGTCACACCCAAGGTAATGCACACTATAGAGAGTAATCATACCTACATAACCTTCCATGAACGGCAATTTTAGGTGGCATGGTGGGTGTACTCATAGAATGCTTCATGACTGGCGCCAGTACCCAGACAAACATTTTGTGGCTGTTGTCAAAGGGCGGTAGGAACACTTGTGAACCCACAGAACATTTTGTGGCCACCAATGGACAGTAGTAGTACCAAAAAGGTTAATGTTATTAGTTGGTTAATGCACAGATGCCAATTTTAAAAGAACTCAAAATTGATTTAAATTCACTTTATAATACATTATTCAATTTATTCAACTATTTACATTATGATTCCCAATATTAAATATATTCTTTACATACCCTAACATTTATGTTCCTTAGCTAACTTAATTTGGTTATTTAATTACACTCTTTTACTAACAGAGTTTCTCAGTAGGGAAGGAAACTTTTTTACTTTTTACTCAATTTACCAAAAAACTCAATTTACCAAAGTACTTCAAACCATAGTAATAATAAAATTAATAATTAATGTGCATACTACTGTGTGGATTTACTCAGTAATGGACCATATGTTTTTAAGATACTTTCTTTCTTAGTACCACATACCTTTGTGATGTAACTGGAAGCAAATCCTGCTAACAATTAGGAGGTCTGCAACTTGAACCCCAAAGAGGGTACTGCATATTTTTTACACTTCTAAAAAATTTTTAAAATTGCTAACTCACTCTGTACTGGCAAAAAGTAAAATAAAGTGGATTATAATTCGTCATCCACCAGAATTTGGTGACTAGGCCCACAGTTCCCTATGCCTTCATGGTCTACCAGTGAATGCATTGCATAATTTTTTTTTCATATTTCCTGTTCCAAAATGAACCTAATGACTCTACATATTGATTGAAATAAAATTAAATATAAATATTTACTGATTAAATATTTCATTGAATCTTCATATACAGTTCTATACAGTTCTATGAATGTCTCCAGTAAATTAAGACAGTTCTGATCAAATGAAGACCACTTGGAATGGAGAACAAAATTTTTTCATTAGTCAAAAAAACTCTACAAATAAAATTTGCAGAATTTAAAGAAAGAACATATAAAAAGGGTGAAAGGTAGAACATATAAAAGGTATTTATACTTACGAGGAATAGTTTTTTGTCTAAAATGTTCAGGATCAAATGCAACCAACCTTCTCTTAAGTTCATTTTCTTTCTCCCTACACCTGGTGGACCTAGGTATGTTTAAAAATATAAAATTAAATGATTTTTTTGACAGCATATAATTTGAATACATGTTCCATTTATTAAGTATAAACATTAGGCATAATTGAGAAATTAAATAAATAAAATCAAAAATTCTAACAAGAACACTAGGAGAATGTCCCTCCCCAATACATGAGATAAAACCTACAATTTACAACATTTACATATATACAAGTAATACTACTTCAATGCATATAAATATTTTTTTCAAGTGGACCTTTTAACTTAGCAAGATTTTGTTTCAATGCACACAAGTAAATTTTTCAAGTAGATTTTTTAAGGAACCAAATAGCTTTCATAAAAATCAAAATAGTTGTAAAATTAAATTTTTAGCACTCATCATGACAAAAATCAATCAATACAATTTTCATGCCTCAATTCATATGCTCAAATTTTTATACTGCATTTTATTTCTTGGTAGTTTTGGTTTTTTCCAGAAAATACAAAATATTCTATTCTATTCGACTTTTAATTATGGTACTCTCTCAGCTCATTTCTAATTTTTACCTCTAATTTAAAAAAAAAAAAAAAAAAAAAAAAAAAAAAAAAAAAAAAAAAAAAGAGCCGAGGTAAGCTATGAATAACCTTGTTTACCATCAACAATTTTTTTGTTTTTGTTTTGAAGGTGAGAAAGCAGCTAAAATAAAAATAGTACTCATCACAAACTAAGACAAAATTTTTATTATTGGGTCAAAAGTAACACGTTTCTGTATTTAACACTTCTTAGTCATTCTTATTCTCAGTGCCATTAGAACAGTTGCCTGCACTACCATTATTGCTAATGCTACCATTCTTGCTGGTACTAGTATCATTATTGCTGATACTGGTATCCTAAACAAATTGTACAGTCCTATGTAACATTCATCCAATAACAATGGATTTTATACTCAATCATGAAATATGTGCTGCTGTTTTACCCATGATTGTATCTAACTATTCATGTGTAATCCACTCCTTGGATTTTCATCTCCATTTTTATGAAAAAAAGTGTGGCTGTTAATTAATGTTAATTTACTTCATAATTTTCAAAACTGATTCTGAATTATTATCCACACACTCAATATAAATATCATATTTTAAAAATGTAACATTAATGAATGCTATGTAAAAATGGAAGTATTTTTTTGAAGGTAAAATATTTTCTACCAGACTTTGTTTTGTGTGTGTGTGTGGGGGGGGAATGGGAAGGCTCCTTAGATTTTTTTCCAGGTGTACAATAATGCACATTATGATTTATGAATTAGAAAAAAATCTTCAGAAGGATGGTTTCAAAATGCTTTTGTTAATCGCAGTGCAAACAAGTGTCCAAGAAATATAAAAATATAATATTCATGGTTGCATATGTGCACAAAAGGGTCTAATTCTATTTCATGTAAATTAATTTTAAAAAATATGAACTTCAAAATTTTATATACATTTTTTAATATACAAAAATCTTGATTGACAGTTATTTAAAATATCTTGGAATAAAAATGGTGGCATGCAGATTTGACTCCAAGAACTATGGCTTACAATAGGGAAGTATTTCTGATCATGCTGCCTTGCATGGTAAAATATACTTTGATACTTCTAATATCACAATGTTTTTAATTTCTTTAAAATCTCTCCACTATCTTAGCAAGGCACATTTAGAAAAATTTACTTGTTCATTCAAAATACTCTTGGTAAGGACTAAAAATAAATACACACTTTGACTTTTGTAACAAAAAATGTTTACATTCCTTTCTTTGTAAAGACATGAACATTATCATAATGCCTACGACTAAACTGCATTTAAAAGTATCCCCCGTAATTTTTTTAAATGTTACATATTACGCTTTTGAAGCTAAATATAATATTTATTTTTCACCATCACTCACCAATTTTAAGAGAATAGAGAAAGATAAAAAATAGTACTTACTAACTTTTTAACATAAAAATACTTGAAACATGAAAATTTAGCTGATTATAAAAATCTGCATTTTATGTAACTTCAACTGTAAAACTTTTATTATTATTGACACTGTAGTTTTTTTCCTTCTGTATGCATCCAAAAGTGTCTGTAATATTAGTCCTAATGAAGCTAGTTAACATGCTTAGGATACATTTTCCATAGTGCCTTCTTTCCATTTCGAATTGGTAAAACCTTTCCCCGTGCTCTTCTGAAATAACTCAAATTTTCAGGGGGGGGATGGAATAAAATTTTGTTAGATGAAAGGGGTTTTTCCACGTAATGTTTATAACTTTCAGATTTCTCCAAAATTTCCAAATTACATGACTGATTAAACTTATTCACTTAAGCCTTGAACAAAAAAATTGGAAACAAGTTTGTTAAAGTAAATTATTATTTTTTTATATAAAAAGATATTTTAATGCAATTTCATTGTTGTAGATTTGATATTAGGAGTTCTGTTTTTATTTTCAGAAAATCCAAATTTCATACAATGATATTCAACTCTGTCTGAATTTTCACATAAGACTCAATTTGATACTGTAAAACTATGTTTATAGGGATTCATAATTTTTGGTCTAATCTGGCATGAAAATTTTTCAGATTCTGATTCAGAATCAGTAGGTTTACTTTTCTGGATGAATACATATTTATGTAGAACTATCATGACAAATAAGCTTCATTACCAAAAGTTTATTAATATACCTTAATTTATACTTATATTTCCAAGGAAAAAATATAAATCTGTAAGTCTGAGAAGAGATTCTGAACAAACTTAAGACAATCTGCAGTGCAGAACACAAGTCAGGAACTAAAAAAAATTTGCATCATGGGAAAACTTGAAAAGGTTGCAAGTTGCTATACAGTTTACAATTTAAAAGGAACCATACCAATGTAGCATGGAGTTTTCGTTCAGTTAATAAAATTTGATTTCCTCACTTGATTTTGGTTATTATAATTTATTCTGCTGTTATCACTTGTTATAGCAACATATTTGCAATTTCTGAATATAAAAATATTTTCTTCAACAGAAGTGCACTTTTTGCTTAACAACATAATTTCGCTATAAAAATACCTTCTCCTCAAACATGATCGATGATACAGTATTTCTAAGGGCTACTAATATGTAAATAAAATATAATATTTTGTAAAAAAAAAAAAAAAAAAAAAAAAAAAAAAAGTTACAAGTCATTAAAAATGAATTTTATTTTGATTTATTAATTAAATGTTTGCAGTAAAAAATTATATTACCCAAAATAATGAGTATCTTTGTGAAATTCAACATTTCACAAATTTTACAAATTTGTTTTTAGTTCAATTACTTTCTTTATACTATTTGGATTTTTGCCCTATACATAAAAATATATAATCAATGACAATATTACTAGCTTTTAATGATGCACAAAAAATATTGTATTCATCCTCCTTTCTTTTACTAATTTTATTGTCTGAAAATCAAGAGGGGAAAATTATGCAAAAAATTTACTTTCTGAAGGATACGGTTACAGTAACACGAAAGCAATTGCTATATGGATGAGTCCATTTTAAAATTTAGGGAAACTCATTCTTGAAAAAGGGAAAAATTATGCGGTTTCCTCCCAGAACCTGGTGCTAAAAATTTAAGGGAAGAGGGAATGTGTGAGGGAATTGGCACATGATTCTTAATGTAATTTATTTGCAATACACAAAAACTCTGGTATTCAGGTAAGTTTTTCAATTTAACTATCACGATTGTAGAATATTTTAGAAAGGTAAAGAGAGACATTTTTAGAAATTTTAGAAACACTGTTAGGTGAGAACTGACACTGAAACAATTAAGCTGCCAGACTTGTGCTTCGGTAAGGAATTCGAGCATCGGGAGCACAAAAGATTTATTAAAACCTGAGTATTAATTGAAAAGAGAGGTGCTGCAAAATTATTCTATTTTGCTAACAGAGGCCAAAAACCATTACAGAATGTTAAAATATTTTATCATAGTTACTACACTGGAGGTATTTTTCATTTCACTTCACATTGTATTTTCAATTTCAGTTAATGAAGATATTTTAATATATTCTTTTTAAGCTGTTTCTATAACAGAAATATTTCTCATCCTTTAAATAGTAAGAAGACAGTGTTAAAATTTGCGAATGTGAATCAGGAATGTTGTTTGTGTTTGTCTACCTATTTGGTATGCTTCAATTAATTCTATTAGCTAGTGTAAAAAAGCTCAGAGCAAGATATTCTAAGCATTCAATTTTCATTATTTCAGTTAAGCAAATTTTACTGCTTGACAAAAATTTACCCAAATCCTAGAATGAGATATTTAATCCAAACAGAAAGTATAAAATCCAAAAACGTAAATTTAATAGTTTTGCACACAAAAGAATATTTAAACTACTATTTTTTATACTCCAAGTTAAAATTTATTATATAATACAACAAAAGATAATGCAAATAGTAATTTCATTCAGTGTATATATAAATTTATAATACAAATAAACAAACCTATTAAAATTATTGGTCGATGTAATCCAGGACGTGGATATAATTTTGCAACCTCTTCATATGTAGCAATTTCTTCTCTGTCAAAATCTGAATAACAAACAATGGTGGGAAATTAAAAATATATATACGTAAGATATAACAAAATATGATAGCTGTTTCAAAAAAATAATTGACGACCTCAAAATTAACATTCTAAATTTGGTAATCTGCCCCTAAATTCATCGCTTCTCACAGGTTCCAGACTTTTCTATCTTATGTAATGTTTTAATGCAGATGCCTCTTGTCCAATCAAATTAATTCTAAACCAAAACTGTGAACTGAAACTTCAGCCTTCTTGCTATGAAAATACTATAACCTTCCCCGCGTTGGCTCTCCTGCTGGTAAGATGCTTTTAATCCATGCTTAATAAATAATGTTAAATACTAACTGAATATGATAGTTACTTTTCTACAGTTTTTGTTTCTTTTTTTTTATAACAATGCTACTGATAAAGTTTTAACATTATTCTTGTAATGTATATCAAAGTGGCTATTACTTTATGTATTATGATTAATGTATTTAAATTTGAAAACTTTCTGAATAACCAACAGGAATTTTTGAATAATTCTTAACTTGTTTAATTAATTAAAAATACTTGCTGATACACACACCTGTTGAAGAATCAGAAACCTAGTAATATGCTGGACTTTAGGAAAATTTCATAAAATGTTTAGATAGAACACTCAGACGACACACCTTCAATTAACTCAAAAGATAGAACTGAAATGTTGTTTCAAATAAGTTTTTTTTTTTTTTTTTTTTTTTAACAGACCTCATGTATTCTACACAATTAAACATGGAATCCAAAGCAGCCAGGGAAGCAGCTGAGTTGCTCCTGGAATTCCATGCTTTAACAATTTGGGTGCTATAAAAAGTATCAATGTTGTCTACTATGAAAAACCTACATTCCATACCATGGATTCCCATTCCTTTTCTTGCATTGACCCTTTTTAAAAGAACAGTTTTTTTCATCAACCACCTTGCATTTTTTGCTATAATATACAACATAATCATAATACAAATAAACTAACTTAATAATAATGATAACAATTAGACAAAGAATACTATCACATGTATATGGGTTAATAATAGATTGAATAAATGCCCACAAAATAATTGGAAAATTGATAAAATTTATTTTAAAAAATACTTTATAGTTCTGGAACTTTTCTGAAAAAATACGTATACAACTCTTCTTAGTATGACACAGCACAATTAATAGTTACCATTTCAAACTACTAAGAACGCTGAGCATAAGCCAATGCAAAGTGCTTCAAAAAATGGAAGCTCACAAGGTGATCTCTCAATACCCTAAATTATCGATACCCTGAGTTAAAACTGAATTGATGCTCTTTCTTGTCCGATACATAGTTTTTCTCCATATACCAGAGAAATTTCCAGTAGCTTCAATTTCTCAAACTTGCTGAAAGGTATACACAGTTACATTTATGCAGGACCTGTTACGGTTGCACAGGTAATGGGTCAGAAAAAATTTCCAAATTTGGTGACAAAAATTTTGCCAAAACCATCATCAGCTTGCCAGTTCAAGTCCATTTAACATTCATCTCAATGTTAAATGGACTTAGTCCCCAGTACCCCTAGTTTTCTGGTAAAAGGTTCACATTCTGAGGTTTATCATACTATCTATACAGGGATTGGACAAAAATATGGAAACACCTTTGTAAAATGCTTGTTTGAACTGAAATGATTATTCTTGTAAAAGCTGTTGGTGGTGCCGATGAGTTTGCTCACTAATGCCACCTGTACAACATCCTCAATATCTTGCAAGTGTAGTTTGTTATTGAGACCTTGTTCTGTGCAGTTGCGAGTGCATCATGTCAAATTTAAATGAATTCAAACATAAGCAAATAGTTGGGAGCTCGTATGATGGGTGCTTCCGTAAAGAAAATAGCTGAAGTGTTTGGTGGACGGCACCACCAAGTTCAAGAGGCACAGTATCTAAGATTTTTAACTCATACAGGGAAAACTGGAAAAACCACATGTGCTAAATCTCAGCATGGACAAAAATATGTGCTGAGTGATCACAACAGATGATCATTAACCCTTTGATGCGCGATATTATTTTTATAATTTTTTTAACTAAAAACTCTAGAAAATGAATATTATGATACTAGAGACAAATAATATATGAATTAAAAAAATTCTACTCTTGTCCACTGTTTTGTGGGTGGTGGTTGCACTGTGAAACTATCGCGCGTCTAGGACTTTGAAACTTACCTAGGTAGTAGGAAAAAAAACCTTACCTTTCTCCATGCGCGTTTTGAATAAATGACGAAATTTATGAATTTAAAAAAAATGCATATAAGAATTGCATACTATACATATTTTTTACATTATTTTACAAACAAAATCATAAGAAAAAATTAAAAAATAAACATTTATGTAATTTTACTATAGCAGTGAAAGTATAAGTACCTACATAATAAGGACGTTTGGCTACATGGATTAAAAAAATCAGTAAAATAAGGATAAAACAAAGACTCAGTGTTTTTTTTTTAAATTTCAAGGAACAAATATTTTTTGTGATACTGTTTAAAGCATGTTTTGTGTTTTTAGTACATGCATAGACCCACAATGCACGTTTCGCACATGTATCTTCTTCTATGATGTTTCTTCCTTGTGCTACAAAATACACTGACTGGATCTAAATTTCACTGGTATATGTCCAGCGTCATTTAGTTTCTTTTCATCTGTCACATGAAATTTGTGGGTTTTTTTATGTTAATTGGGGGGGGGGGAAGGCTTGGACTTTTTGGCTTTGGTATACGGATCATTCGTTTCCCATTCATATTTATTTTATTCGTATTTCATCTCAAAATATTCAGAAAGTATTTTTAATTTATATAAAACTTTACTCAATTTCTATTTTTAATCACAGCAAAGTATATTTACATTAAATTTAAACCACAGGAAATAATTTATAAAATCACAATACTAGCTTGGGGAGCAAGTGTGTTGAGGTCAGAGAAAAGGTCTCTGGAAAAGAAAGAGCTTTTTATTGGGCAGGTGCATGTATTGTTTAGTAAATAAAATAACTCTGTCATTTCAAAACCCCTTATCTATATCCGGGTAAAAATAAAATTCCTATTTGAGAAGCAAGCAAACGTCATTGTGAAGAGCAGTGATTTCAAGGTGCAATCACTGAGCCTCTAGAACATTGTGACACAATGCTCTAGTGGGGCAGTGGTCACGCCCTGAAACCACAAAGCAAATGCCATATATATAGAGGGTTTTTTTAATATATGAAGTTTAATTATTGCTATTTTTTATTGTTTATGCTAGAAATCATGATGTACCATGAATAACTTTTGAAATTTAAAATTGTTTATATTAATAAAAGAAGGTTATTTTGTCTCATTGAAAACAAATTTTAAAAGGCGTGCGATTTGAAGTACTAAGAGCTAAAACATGCATGATTCTATAGTCATTTTGTGTTATTTAGAAGTAAAAGATCAGTAATCAATTGATTTTCACTCAAAAATTTCGGAAGGAAAAGGAGAAAAAAAATTCGAAAATTGGTGATTTCGGGCGCGACCACCGTGCGCCAAAGGGTTAAAGAGGGTTGTGATCAAACATAAGAGGACTACAGCCGCAAAAGTGACTGTTGAACTGAATGCCACACTCGCAAACCCTGTCAGCACCAAAATAAAACAAAGGGAGCTCCACAGATGGGGTATTTGGGGGACGGCTGCAATTCAAAATTCAGTTCAGTACATATTCAACTAAAAACTCATTTTAAAATTTTTCTGATGTTGTTAGGAACCCCTGTACTAAACTAATACGGGTACTTTTCTTCAGCAGCGGCTTTGGTGAAAATGTTGAACTGGCACATTTCAGCATTGGCAAGAAAAAATCATTTATGGTTATAAGGTATTTTCTCCCTTCTTTCTGCATGCCTTCATAGTGTGACAGTAGCACTCTCGGCGCATACTGAGAGGTCGAGGTAGAGCCCCATCAGGACATGGCTCATTTTTCACATCTCCTGCTTGCAAAATACACTAATAACTCTACAGTGGTGCCTGAAATAAAAGGTGGTGGATGATGATTCCTCACCACTAGGATTTGGCGACTGGGTCCCCTAATCCCTTGTCGCTCTTTAAAAGGGGGTGTATATAAGTTATTTTCTCCCTCCTTTCCTGCATGTACTTCATAGCGTAAAAATAGCACACTCAGCATGTATTAGAGGGGTCCAGGTTCGAGTCCCGGTGAAGGCATTGCTCATTTTTTACATCTCCTACTTGCAAAATAGCATAGTAAGTCTACATGGTTATCTATCTGTGTATATCCACTTTTTCTAGCATTGCTTTTAAAATATAATGATTTTTCGTTCGTGCTTGTAATTCATGTTTCTTTGGCCAATAAAAATTTTCACTTTTAATATAGTTATGAATCAGTTTTTCAATGGTTACCAATCTGCATATGCATTTCTTCTACCTTCCATTTTAAACCATAATGATTTTTCATACGTGTAAAAGAAGTTCACACTTCTATGCCTAATGAAAATTTTTGCTTTTAAATTATAGCAGTTTTTCAGTGCAAAATTTATCACACTTACTATTTTCCATCTACTGTCAACTGAAAAGTAAGCTATAGTTTTTCTTTGGGCCCAAAGGACCAATTTGCCCACAAGGGCTATTAATTTCGTTTTGTCATTTTGCGTTGATTCACTACAAATGGCAAATCACTTTTTAAGTTGTTGCCACCAAATACTACAGCCCTATATTATATTTAAAGAAATTAAATAATGAAGAATCTGCATAAACGTACGTATGTGTTTTCGCATTGTGATAAAACAATGGTACCTAGTGTGATCAAAATTTGAATAACATATATGTCTTCACCCAAATATGGGGATCTGGAAGCCCAAATAATTAATTTTTTAAATACATTATTTATTAAATTGTGCACTGTATTAAATTAAATTCTTTAAAATTTATGATTTTGTTTGTAAATATTGACAGAATGCAATTATATTTGTTTCTTGCATATGCATAAATTGGTAAATATTTGTTTTCTGTCAACGCTTAAACACACCAAATCAACATTCTTGCCAAGTCCATTAGAGAAGAAGACAAGTACACTATTATGGCTTGACAGAAATAATAAATAAATAAAAAAAAAAAAAAAAAAAAAAAAAAAAATATTCAATTAAAAGCATTCTGGCAAACTTTAGTAGACCCCGACAGCAGTTTTAAAACAATTCTTAAATTCACCTTCTTCATCGAAGCAATGATATCAGCAACTCAGTATGGTCAGCCTATGTTAATTATTCCTATATGATGTTAAAAAATAGCTAGGAGTTTATTAGAAGAAAATAACAAAAATTTTCTATGCATTTTCACAAAAATGATAGCTGAAAAGAATGTTTAAAGAACCATTAACCCTACATTACTACTGAAGATATGACCACAAAATTGTGAAACTTGCACAAGATCCCATTTCTAAAGTGGAAAGAAACACTATGGAAGTTACTTCATACATTCACATATGGTCTTTACACGACACAAGCCTAAAGTACAGTATCTCCTAAAACTTTTCTATAAGTCTTGTGTCAGAAGCTGCTGTTGAGAGTTTTTTGAAGTTGAAATTGATAAAAACTTATGTTTAATTTGGGAAAAGTTGAATTTCCCCACATTTCTTTTGATAGGAAATGATATTGCTAAAAAATTACCAGAAAGTGACATCAATATCAATGACACAGCTTTACCTCATAAAAAATACACAAAGTTCATTCATAATTAAACCATTAAAGATATATTTGATAAGAAATGTTTACAAGTTTAATTCATACAAGACAACAATGACAATGATTGCTTAAGGTACTCAAAATGGTGAAGCTAGTCCTGTACATATTAACATAAAATTTGATTCAATACACTATGAGTGATCATTATATTAATCCACATAAAAATTTTATTCAGTAGCCAATTGCAATAAAAACTCTGGCATATTAAATATGTTATGTAACTTCATATGAATATTGATTCAAATAACCTAAGAACACTTTTTTAAAGATAACTGAAATAATGCAAAATCAAATTATCCAGTACTAGTAAATATAATTTTAACTTGTAAGTGTCAAAAGAAAATCATAATTAAAATCAAAAACAAAATTTAACACAAACCATCATTTTCTGTAGCATCATACATTATTTTCTTAATCTTTCGAGGTCGATGTTCTTTGCGAACTGGAATTTTACATCCAGCAATGAAATCATCCTGCAGCAATGATGACAGATCTCTCATTTCTGCAAACCTCCTAATTTAGAAAAGATAAAATTCCAATTTTTAATTTCAAAATTTTTCAAAAAACAATGAATTATTATATGTTTTTAAGAAATTAGCATGTATACTTGGAGTATAAAATAAGTGAATCTTCGGATTATGGTAACTTGGCAATTTTTTGGCGAAAATTTGGCGACCAACCCTGCTACAGCAACCTGCGAGTTTTTTTTTTTTGACGCCATTTTGTTTTCATGAAGTAAAGGCTTTTTTTTTTTTTTTACTCAACATTTTTTCCTACAATCTGCTAGCCGAATTACGCTTACGCTAGAACTTTTATGGAACAAAAGTACTTAATCATGACAAAGATTAGGTGTGAAATTGTTTCAAAGTACTTATTAGCTAAAATCAGAATCGGAATTTTTCAGAAAGTCCATTTTCACCAGATTTCTTGCACCGCCATTCAAATTTATCTGTAATATCCTTCCTTTCACACAATCTCATTTCATTCCCACATGTTGGAATTCATTCTATCTGCAATTAATCCTTACACCATACACCATTCAAGCAAGCAACTCTTTGGATGATCAATAAATGAATAAAAATTTGGAATTTACTTTAGAGAGGGCCATGGGATCCAAATATTAAGCCAAACACTACTTCACACAAGATACAAGATGGAATGTACTTCTCAGATTATTGCTAAAGTCCTAGCTAGTAACCCTTATCGCCTTACCAAAATGTCACCAAACTACCTGTTACCATATTCCAAAGATTAGCCATAAAATGCTCTAATATAAGAAGTTACTAAAAATATTTTATAGCTATATTATAATTTAATTTAACAGCAAAAGAAAATTACTTTCAATATTTTAAAGGTAGAAGACACAAAATAAGATCCCTTTGTAGCCAGTGTTTGTACAGCACCAGCTACATAAATTTATGCTCTCTCAAATCATCCAACCAACACGGAATAATGGGAAATATTTTCGGATATTTCTTATACATGGAAATATTTTCAGATATAATGGAAAATATTTTTAGATATTTTGGACATCAGAATTTTAAGGTGTATTTGTTGAACTCTAAACGCATGATTGCCTGTGGCTTGCCTTGCTGATACGTTTTCAAAAATATTGATTTTTGTACAACTAATGAGCATATAAAAATACATATAATTGTGCAATTATATTCGAGAATCTAAATTTTTATTACGAAGGAATAAAGTAAGGTAATAAAATTAGATAAATCACATATTTTACATATAAAACTCATACTGTCATTTTGCATGAATCAGCATACTTCAAAAAGCAGTTTAAAAGAAATACTGGAATACAAATAAATAAAATTTTGCCAAATACATATGTGGATATTTGTCTTTCACTCAGACTGCAGAACATGCTAGCAATAAGGTTCGGTCTAAAGCAAAAGCATACTGATACTTATTATGGTGTTATAATTAAATTCTGCCAAAAACACCAATAGCAGAATATTTCATATATATCAGAAAAGGGATTCAGAATATTAATTTTGGCATTGATGCTTTAATCTCAAAATTTTTGCAATTTTTCAAGTTTATATTTTTAGTTAAGAAAATATTAGTTTTTTCACAAACCTTTCTTGTAGCTGACGACTAGGAATAAGCCCAGCTCTAGAATTTTTTTCTCCATGTTTGCGTGCTTGCCACCAATTCAGATCTTCTTGATTCACTATATGAAGAACATCTCCTTTATTAAATGGAAGACCAGCCTCTTTACAAGGAATAAGATTGTCTGCAGATGGGTCATAACTAAAGTGAGCTCGCACTCGGAGACGGCTTTCTCTGGATGGAAAACATTCTTCCCTTGGAACAAGTTTGAAGGTGATTGGACCTTCTCGACATTGCTAAAAGGAAGCAAAAATTATATGCAATGTAAGGATATATAAACACCCATACAGTACTTAAAATAGATTTATCTACAGAAAAATTATAGGGGAAAAACTGTGGATAACAAAACTTAATAAACAGGTCATAGATTGCTTATACCTAAATTTTGAAATGAATCATGAAATTTCCTTTCAATTCATGAGAATTGAAAGATGATTGAAGATTTAAGAAATGATTCTTAAATCAAAATCAAATACTTACTAAAATATTTACAACATCATGAGGTGACTTTCCTTTAATATTGATTCCATTTACTTCATGTACTTCATCACCAGTGTGAATCAAACCTGGAAAATATTATTTGTAGCATAAAAAAGAAGGCTTTTCTTTTTAATCATCCAGAATATGTTTGTGAGATTTTCAAAGGACAAATTTCTAAAAACGTAAATGTTCCTTTGTAGATTAGACACTTTATTGTAACATTTTGGAAATAACAACAATGTGATCTTCTTACACAAAGTTTAAAAGAAGTTTAGCACAATATTTGATATATTTATATGACCTACAGAAACAAAAAAATAATACAAAGTCTGACTGGGATATAAAATGAATTTAAAAGAATACAACTATCAATATCACACATCAAACAGTAATTAAATACTTGAAATTTAAGATAAATATAAAACTTGAAACTGGTGAAGTATATATATGACACAGTTTCACTTTTTACATTAACTATTATGCTTTTTAAGAAAAATAAACACTCAAAACTAAATACAGAATAAAATAAGTTCCCACTGTCTTAAATAAACATTATTCTATGAATAAGACATCAGTATTCTGAAACTGGCAAAAACTTTTCCACAATAATCATTAACATGGAAATTGCATAATTAGTTCTAAATTAAAGAATACATAATGTTTTATACATAATCCAGCTCACATTAGTGATAACCTTAGTAATGATACAACTTCCATACAAAATTATAACATTTTTGGAAAAGCAATAATAAAAAAATTCTCATTTATGCTAATTATGAAATGTTAGCGATTGTTCCCAAAGAAATAATATTTTGCTAGTAAATATAATGAATATTTTATTGACTAATTTTATACACAAAAATGCTGTTGGTTGAAATCCTCCCCAAAAAATTTACCACTTAAAATAGTTGTGTTTTACTTCTGCATACATAAGTTTTGTCACCAATTTAATCTTTGAGTTGCCTAATTGTGATTATGTATCTATTGTTTAATTGTGATTAACCTGTGTTGGATTTGTACTGGTCCATAAATTTTATCTAAATGCAACTATAAAATGCCTGAAATGTGGTTACTGTGGCTTTTTTTTTTCAACCACTTAATTTTAATAATAATAATCATCATAATAATAATAAACATTACATACATCTGGAAATTTCAGCATTTAAAAATTAAGTTACTTATTCCCCCAAGAGTGGTATATTACTGCTTAAAAACCAAATTAATAGAAAATTAGCATTGGAAATGTGGATATAACTGTTACTTATTTTTTAAACTGCTTTCTATTAATTTTTTTTTTATTTTTTTTTTCAGCAAAAAGTTTTTAAATTAAAATAAAGATCTGATGTAACTGATGAAAATCATGTGCTGAACACAGATGTGTTACAAGCATAAGCTAAAAAAACACAAATTGCATTTATCCTATTTTTTATTTTGATAACTTTAAGATAATTTTAATTAACTCATTTTATCATCAAAAATATATTTTTACATTAACTGTGATTCTTATTGTAATTATGATATTATACTTATAAATACACATAAAACAATAAAATATGTAATTAAAATATTTCTGTTGCTCCTTTTTTTAATAAATACATCTATGCAGCTGCTATAATTCATTGTACATTCATGGCTTGCATATTTTAATCAGACAAAAACACTAAGCACTGTAACACTCCTCTTAAATCACTTTGATTTATGTAACTCCGCAATTTAACGTCCTTCATAAGCTATACAGGGGAAAAAAAAAAAAAAAATGTATAGTTTAGGGTTTTCATAAAGGGATTTTTTTAAAGAACAGAATTTCGAAAAATTTTTTTTTTTTTATAAAATTGCAGGAGGACTCTAATATTGCACAAAATAAACTATGATGCCTTTAAAAATTACACTAAACTGACTTTTCACTACCAGCTTTAAATTACTTCTAAGGAGGATGTGAGATATCTAGTTTTTAATGACTCTCCTATTATAACAAAGACATTTAATTTCAGAACATTGATGTAAATTACACATATCTGAGTGCTGATAAATTAATTTTATATCAAGATAACTTAATTTTCAATTCTGCTTGCACTTAAAATTCCATTAAAATAAAGAAAGAATATTTTCTTTATTTTTTAGGTGGAATGGAATAAGTTGTCAGTTACAAATTTTTGTATTTTAACACTATGGCTATGGAAGCACTTAACTCTACTTATGCCATCAGTCTAGTCACAAACTTCAAGGTACTATAACACAATATTAACTCCAAAAATTACTATCCGACTAACTCCAAAATCTTACCGTGCTATCACACTGTTTGATATATATAAGCTGAAAAAAAAAAAAAAAAAAAAAAAAAACATGGATGCTCTTAGGGAAGGGAAAAGACATATTGAAAAGCAAAATTATTAAGTTATTGAAAGGCGAGTTAAATAAACTAATTCTGGAAAAGTAAAACAAATATAAATAAATATAATGCCTTTAAAAAGATTAGCCAAAAAGCATACATTTCTCAATAAAACAAAAACAAACAAAAAAAAAAAAAAAAAAAAAAAAAACTGAAATTCTTTTTAATATTTTTAATGCACATTTAATTCAATTAATCATTATTCAAAAAAGAACAACAGCTCTCTTTCTCAATTATCACTGTTTCTTAATTTCTATATAACATCTCACAGCATTTTGAATTCAGTTCTTCATTTAAATGCCTTACTGCAGTGGATTTTTTTTGGGTGGGGGGAACCTGATCTAAAATATAAGGTTTCTCAACTGCTATATCAGCAGATTATATATTTGTGCTTGATTCTTTATAAATCCCTATTCCGTAAAACATTGGAATACAAATTCATTTCTTTCAACATAAAAATTAATTTTTTTAATTAAAAAGTTTTTATATTTTCTCACCTATTCAAAACAATAATCTGGTAGCATATTTTTATAATAGTCATAAGGAAACAGAATTTGAATTGTAAGTACATCTTAATTTACAATTCTTGCTCTATGAACTACTCTAACAGACAAATTGATTCATAAATACAAGGTATACTTGTATTATATATTTTTAAATTTTACTGGTACTCAGCAGGTTTATTATTTTCATTTTTCATTATTTTTGAAATAAACTTACCACTTCGATCTGCTGCACCACCATGAAGGACTCTAGCTATGACGATGGAACCAGTTTTTTCATCATATTTAATTGTGGCCCCCTGAAATAAAGTATTATAAATTAGGGAAGAATTACATAACAAATAATATGTTTGCAAAGCATTGTGATAAAGATGAAACAGTGAAAATATATATATAGTTCTTCTATTAGTTACGCATTTAATTCCAATCACAAAACTATCACGAAAATAAATCATGAAAAAGTGCATTTTTATTTTAACAAAAATGAGCAACAAAAATCTTTTGCAGAGATTTTTACATTAATTTTTTTGTCTATTATATCAGCTTGTCAAACAACTTATACAGTGCATCTGAGATACCAGCTTTGAGCCAGTGCTGTAGTTACAGCAGATTCAGATTTATATTAGAAACACCTTTAATAAAATTAATTGTTGCCAATTCATTAATGATTGATGTAAGGAAACTTCAGTAACAGCAGGTATAACTGAATAATTTCTTTAAAAGCTAACAGAAATATTAGAATGTTAAGTCTAATAAATATCATTTTTTTTCAAAAAATTCTTAGAATGAAAAATCATTCATATAAAAAAAATACACAAAAAGTTTGCATTCTAGATGCTTAAAAAAAATAATGCATCAAAACTTATACAGTACAAAGTCCGAGACCTGGACTCAATGAGATTTCAAGTGATGCCAGAGTTGGGATTTTTTTGCATATAAGAACATCATTGTAAATCTAGTAAGATGACATGCAGAAATTCAGAAAAAAAAAAAAAAAATAAAATATGACATAATGATTTATGAACTATTGAAGCATTTATGACCTTCAGGGATAAAAATTTACAAAAAAAAGGGAGGGATCTCATTATTTATTTATTTGCCTTATTAAATATTTGTTTCAATGCCAGTTGCTTAATTTGCTTCATTTTTTTGTGCTAATGTTTTCTCTTTAATTCCAAAGATTGGCATAATTTCTTGTTCAGTCACAAAGTTCCATTCTGCAGGGATGCATATTTTCTGTCTGTTTAATGTGTAACCTGCTCGTTTCCCATTCATAGTTTATTTTGGCGTTTCTGTGATGTTTAAATGTTTATTCAGATGTAGGTTAACAGGTGGTGTTAGTTGAACATATTTCTGTTAAATATACAAACATGTTTTGCAGCATTTCGTGCACTCTTTTCAAAGCTTAAAGATGTCTGGCAAGAAGCATTTCGGGAGTGATATAACCTACATTCCTGACATATTTCCGACACCGATAGCAGTTTTGACTCTGATTTCAAATATACTAAAGACAGTTATAGTAAAACTAATGAGAATTTCTCGCATTCCTCTGCGGATAGTGATAAATCTGAAGATTCATTTTCTATTCAAAACATTCTTACCTTAGTAGTAGCAAAATTGATATGCAATTATTCCACTAGCTCCAGCTTCATTTCTTTTTCTTGGCAATACCACAGCGATTTTCACTATGGAAAATGCAACTGTTTTCGATTATTTTGAACTTTTTTTGACGATCTTACCTTACAAACAATAGTACAAGAGACCAACAGATATTCTAAACAGTATATCAATAAGGCAGTTCCTAAAGAAACATCAGGTGGAAAAAATGGTCAGATACAAATGAGAAATACCTTAGATTATTCTTTTCTGTTTTGTTTCTCAAAGGAATTGTAAAAAAGACAAAACAAGAATATTATTTTTCTAAACGTCACATATTGCAAATACCAATTTTTCAACAAGTAATTCAGAAAGATAGATTTACTTTGATGATGGAGTTTCTTCATTTTACAAATAATGAAGAGTTTGTTAAACACAATCATACATGGCCAAAATTAAATAAAATGTATTAACATCATGGTGCGTCTTCAAAACAAATTTCGAAATCTTTATATATCAGGTAAAAATCTGACCTCAGATGAGAGTTTGATGCATTCCAAAGGCTAGAAAATGTTTATCGCCAAAGCAAAAAGAGCAAGATTTGGCCTTAATTTTTTGTGCTTTGCTTAGCACAAACTGGATTTTTTCAGACTTTCTGATATACACAAATAATGGAACTGTGTATAATCCTGAATTTATAAATTATCCAGTCTCTGTTAAAACTGTTTTGCACTTGGACAGATTCCTAGGCAAAGGTTATGACTACTACTACATGTCTTCACATTTAGCAGACATTTTAGTTTCAGAAAAAAAAAGAACAGATTCATATGGCACAGTAAATAAGACCAGGAAAGACTTTCCTGCAAATTTTGAAAAGGAGAAAACCCCTAAAGGTGAAGTCCTTGCTTACCAAAGGGGTAAAGTTAGGATCCTGTTTTTTTTCTGATGAGTACAGTTCACAATGCAAGTTCCCGTTTGGTCAAATGCAAATCAAACAAAATTGTAATGAAACCAGTTGCTATTTGTGGTTACAATAACAAGATGGGGGGAGTAGATTTATGTGACCAAGAAATGTCATATTATCCCCTCTCAGAAAAGAAGGAAAATATTACATAAAACTTTTCCAACAATTCATGAATCAATCGCTGCGGAATGCTTATATCCTTCATATAACCACTGCAAAATATAACACTTCTTCTTCCATTATCAAATTATTTAGCTAAGAATCAGAAGTATTCAGATGGAAATTACAGTGCACAGGGTTCGTACACATTTCTGCACATGGAAATTAAGTACTTTTAAGGACCATTAAAGGAAAAAGAATTAAGGACCTATGAGCAAATGGGAACTGAATAAATTCAATTAAAAATATTATCTATGCCTGAACTTCATTTTCCTAATACCATCCTAAAAATATAAAATAGATCCACAAGTAGAATGCATTATTGATAAAAGTAACTTAATTAAAATAATTATTAATAGTTTGAGAATAAAATAAACTTTATGAAATTCATCAAGTAGCATTAAATATTTTTTTCTTATAATAATTGGACATATTTGACATAAGATAAGTGACAGTTTATTTAGGTTTTACTAACAGTTAGCTTTATGTTGATTATTTTTTTTTTTTTTTTTTTTAATGTCTCATTTTGTCACATACTTGCAAGTCTAGAGGTTAAGTAAATAGTAAGTAGATTTTATGTCAAGTGGCATAGGTTAAAATGAGAAGTAAAATCATAATCAGCATGATTTAAAACAAAAACTGGATTTTGTCACCGCTCCTGTTTGCCTAGAGATAGACCTGCTGATCAGAAGAAATCTGAAAGGCCATATATGAGCACGGTTGGCAAATTTTGAAACTTAGCTGGACTCTGTCCGATGAGTCAGTGTCATAGCTTCATATAGAAGTCCAGGGGTTGTAACTTAGTTAATATATTTTAAGGTTCTAATAATCCACTAAAGCACCAGAGGTGATAAGTTATTTTGCATTATTTTAAGTCTCACTAGATGCGAAGAACAAGTTTTACATCAATTTTTACATCTTTGCGTTTTATTTTGTGACCACGGTTAAGGGTTAATGAAAGGCAATAAGGCAATAACTCGCTTTAATATGCAGAGATAATATTTAAGGGTATGCAGTTAGTTGTAAATAATTAAATTAGGTATTAGATAATTTTAGTCATTATGGATTTACAAGGCCACTATTAAATCTTACTTATTTTTTTAACAATATGCATTAAAAAAGTCTTTTAAAAATCACAATCTCATAAAATTTAACAGTTTAAAATACATGTTATTTATAACATTGATTCTTAAACGATATTAGGATAATCACACACTAAAAGCTGCAAACTATTTACAATTTGTATTACACTAATAACAACACTCAACAAAATATTTATGCATCTTTTTAATTTTAAGCCTTCCCAGACATTTTGGCCAATTTATATAGATTTCCTTCTCTTTAAGCTTCTTTTCTAACAATAAAAAATTTGTCTCAGTATGCAAAAAACAGTGTCCTCACTATCTTCTGCGTGTTTTATCTCCTAACCTGTCAACGTCTCCACAATGTACCTGTGAGGGTTTTACTTGAGCTGGTAAAAGTTAAATAGTCCAACCTCCCCCCAAGAGATGTGAAGCAAATGATCGCTATGTCTGAAAGTAACTACAAAGTCAGACATGTTTAAATAAGCTTCTTATTTAAAAAAGAACTTCAAACATAAAGGCAAGTTCTTATGCTAACAAAGTCATTTACAGCTCGTGGTGATGTAATTAAACAAGCAGAGTCAAATTCAAACTATAAATATGGACTAGTGGTCAAAGACTATACAATTAATTTCATCTTAAGCTGGCTATCCCTATAGTCATAACAAATTTAAATGTCAGCAGCGGTAATGCAAAGACGAATAATTAGCTGGCAGAAACTAATGCAGGGAACAAGTGGAGGTCAGAAACACACTCTTTACACTCCAAAAACCTCAATTTAAAACTGTCTAAGTGATTTGCATTCTGGTAAGAAAATAGAAATGGGAAATTATAGTAAAGGCTGAAATTGTAAACAATTAGTTAACTTACATAATAATAACTGCACATATCTTTGAAGAATAATTTTCTTTCTATTTATGTATTCAGTTTCTTTCTTCCACGTTTCCTTTTCATTTTAGAATTTTTAGATTTAATTAAAGATTTCTGTTATTCTAAAAACACTAAATGCATTTAGAATGTATAGAAAAAGCTGCTAATTTTATTTCTCTAGTAATATGAAATATATATGGCAAGGTCCAGTTACAGAGCTGGGTGTGGCATAATTTTCAGAATTTAGTAACACACCGAGCAACAAAATCTAGGAATGACAAAACTGTTAGAACTTAGAACAGGCACTAGAAGCAGAATTTAGAAAAGCACCAAGCAGCAGAATTTATGATCCATAGAGATTGCATCAGGTGAGAAAATCCTAGTGCCAGCCCTGTGTATGATGCATTAAGACATATTAGATGAATCTTTTAAATTGTCAGTTTCTTCTGCCTATTTTAGCCAAAAGTAAGGACTTTTAAGGGCCAAAAATCGATTTAAAAAAACTTAAGGACTTTTAAGGACTCTTAAGGACCGTATGAACCCTGTACATCAGCCAGGATAAACCCCTGGCAGATGTAGTTCAACTCTTAATCCAATGAGACTAATTGCTCAACATTTTGCTAGCCAT